AATATATTTTACGGCGAGACGCAAGCACAAGCAATCGCGGAAGAAGACCTAGTTCCAGAAAGTGCAGGAGTCCCTTCGGAAGATCTCCGGTCGAGATTCGAAAAATGGAAATAAAGAAAGGAGCGATTCGTTCCCCGCAAAAAGTATACAAACTTTATTTGTAATACGTAATATATGAGTATTATTAAGTATTAAAATTAAACCACCTGGCATTGCCGGGATTATCACAAAGAATCAAGGGGATAAAATCAGAGATAGGAGATCCAGGTTTCATGGTAGACCATATTTTCCGCAGGGGTCTAGAGAGTAACTATATGCAAAATTTCATAGATTGGTCAAAGGGTTTAGGAGTTAATAGGCAGAGACACATTCTGTTTTATATACATCGATTTTTTACTCACGACGTCGTAAATCAATATGACATGCATTGAGGAAAGATATAGAAACCATAAATGCGGAATTTTATTTGATTTAAATTGTATTTTTGCTTCTCCGGTTCTTAATTGATTCTGAATTGTCGCGTGTCGGAGAGGTGGACTTTTACGCAAATAAATGTCCTCATTATAATTCGAAATCCCTTTCTCTGTGTTTTTCAATTAATCAGATAGAATATCATTGGGACGGCGCAACGCCTCGAAGAAACATTTCCCGCACGATAATCACGTGGGTGACCGCTATCAGCATTTGGCTGATAAGGAAATTGCGGCATTTCGTAAATGTCGTAAGTTTCTCGATATTTGTGCAAAATGAAGATTCTCGCTTCCTCGCTGCCAGCGCAATGTCGGAGAAAATGACGCCTCCCGAAAATTTTGTTCAGGTAAAATTAGAAGGACCTTTCGAACTTATCATTTGGTTTCAAATCGTAAAGCTGAATATGTTTCTGCTTTTACAAAATATCCGTATCAAGTTCTTATATTTTGTGAATCTTTGCGGAAATATAAATGTGTAATAAATAAATAAATGTATTATAAAATCTGTATATTAATATTATATCTTCTTGGTCCGCCGTAGATGCAAACGACCACCGAAGCCACTCTTAACGCCCTGACAGCCGAGATGAACGTCTTTCGTGAAGCTAGTAAAAAAATTACGGAAGATAATATGAAATTGATGCAGGAAATGAAAAAATTACGTAAAACGTTGGAGGAAGTATCTCGCTCATCTCTTATACCTGCACTTCCACCACCACCACCCCCGCTACCTCCAACAGCACCGCCGTTATTCAACC